GAAGTGTTGCGTGCCTCTGAGGCCATCCTCGTCTGATTTCCATACAATACGGACTGGATCGCCCCAAATAGCATCTGGCTGTGCTGTGCCAGATTCGGTCTTTAATTTTGGCGACATATCGGCACCAACCAACACATTGAGGAACCCTGTCAAAGCAAGTTCTCGGTCGTTTTCACTATTGTGTACGTCACAAGATGTGAGAATGAACTGGTGGCAAGTGAAGAGCATATTAGGGGGCGGCTCCAACTCTGCTTGTTCATCAAGATGCTGCAGGCGGTGTTTAAGCCTGGCGAGGGCATGGTTGAAGAGTGCCGTTGGTGGTCCGTAATTGGAAGCCGGACGATGAGCATGCACGCCGCGGTTCTCATCAGTGCTTTGTTTTATTCCAGCCTCATCGCGGATACCCTCAGACGGGGATGGAAGACGGCGGATTTTGCTAATCGGACGCGCTCGGCGTTCTGGTGAACAGCTTCATTAATTAAGCACACTTGATGAATGGAAAATGTACCTTCGGTCATCTTGAAAGCACGGCTATCTGCGAGGTCGGGTACCTTGTCGAGATTTTCCAAAACTTGCGAGAAGTCAGTTGAATACAGCAGATGTGTTGAGATCGAAATACGCACTGGATTCAGTCACAGCAATGACATCTACCTTCTCGTCCTTTTCAGGTGCGGGGCCATTGGTGAAATACTTTGAGAGGCGATGCACAGAGTTCATCATGCTATCTGCATTTCCGCAAAGCCACTCTAATGCACGTCGATAGAGTGTCCCGGATGGATCCAAGTCCAGGTTATTGCACTGAATAAACAACGTTAATTAACAGCACGACGGCGGAGAAGGAGATGACTGAGAATGACCTTATAAAGAAATAGCTCCTCGTTCTCCAGGAAACGCTTGTAATTCTGATTGTTACGAATTGCATCTTCCAGGTCCTGCACCAACGCATTCTCGAGTACGGGAAAGGATTTAGGTTGTGACTTGACACTGTACGGTAAAAAAACCACAAAGTGGTGCTGCTCGGAAGACGTGCTGGAAGACATAGTAGAAGGGATACAACGTGTGTGGTGGTCCGGAGTTGAGTTTAAAGTCTCGCGCGTCTCGAAACCACAACCGATCACGTGGTCATAACCATGAGTGTGACTACCGTACCAGTGACGAAGACTTGACACAGCAGACATATTAGAATATGATACACAAACAAATTTGTCCCATATTCTAAACCATATTCTTATTATCCAATCAAAGGCCTGCTTCAGAATATTGTTTAGCATATGATGTGAATATGTTTATTTGTTATAAATATGTCTGCTGTGTGACTTTCGACTCTGACGTGACAATAAAACCCCAGCTGTAGCGTCAGGAAAAAGTCTGTTTTCTTATATAGCTTTATAGATCTTATATAATAAAATACACATTACTTATCAGTTTTATTGTAATTATAAGTATTTAACTCTATTATAAAGTAAAAGCAAGTCTTATATACTCTTATAAAAGCTCTATGAGTATTATTCATTAATATAATATGGTAAATGTATTATAATAGTCTTATATAAAGGGTATATACATTTTATTAGTTATATATAGAGAATAAAAGCACTGTAATAGTATTATACTTGAAGAAAAAGGTTTGTATCTAATATACAATATAATAAAGAGGTTTTTCTGTACTTATAATTTGTATAAAAGTTCTATTAATGTTTATAATATCTAGAAACTCTGTTTGAGAGGTTATAAACTTAATAAATATATAGTACTAGAATGTAATGTGCACATTACAATAGTATAATAAATATTAAGCAAGTCGCTTAGATTATGTAATCATCGAATATCACATGGGACTTAGTACTTAAATCTTGGTGTGGCACTCGTCCTCGTCATTCTCTATGCCTCCGACCACCATCGAGTAACCTTCTGTCCCATCACTATGTCGTTGCTTCTGGTCTCTCTAGTCCAGTCCTCTGCTTGCAAGCGTCCTACCAGCTCGCACTCTGCCTGCAACAACCTAGACAATAAACATCACTGTACGCGTCTCTCCAATCTGCTGTTACGATGCCTGCGCTGAGCCTCAGATCCTGCAACGACACCCTAGCTGACTACACCGTCCTTCAACATAAAGCGTAAGCAGCCAGTCTGTTTCATAATAACCTGCACAGTAGTT